ACACACACACACACACACACACACACACACACACACACACACACACACACACACACACACACACAAACACAGCAAAAAAAAGAGAGCAACCTGGAATTTTAATTTTATGATCAAATGACATCTCTGACTGCATTCTGTGTTAAAATAATAAAAACTGAATAAATATTCATACTTTGTCTAAATTTTAGTTACTGTTGGATAGATTTTTTAAAAACCATTTTAAATAGCTATTTATATTTACCGCAAACAGTTTTTTGTAGTAAAATTTGATTTCTAAGCCAATTTAGTGTTTAAAGTAGCAACTTTACAAAATAACTCAGCTGATCAACTTTAGCCAACATAAAAGATGCTCTGACTCTGTCAGTTTTACAGATGTTGAGCTAAAGTAAAGAACATTTGTACGTCACTGCGCTGACAAATGTTGGCAGTAAAACCCCAAAAATGAAGGCTGATTATATCCCAGGATTCATTGCGTTGTCTGCAAACCACACAGGAAAACAAAGACAGTGGAGCAGAGTAAATCCTCACAGACTGAATAGTTTGTTTTTAAATGTATGTTTAGCAGCTTAGGGCTGCGCCACATGGCAGGATAATTGTGCTGAATTGTCCCTGGGTGTGAGTGAGAATTCTTCTGACAATCTTAAAGAAGTCCAGATTATCATGATGGCTCTAAAGATAATCATAGCAGATATTCCTGCTGTGGGTGGTGAGTTAAGAGTGATCTAGTCGGCTCGGAAGGACGTCGGGAACGCTCCGACCTCAAATCAGGGATATTCAACATGTTTGATTTTTTGGCCTGATATCACAGTGTGTGTAGTAGTGTTCACCTGAGCTCACAGCCTGTGAATGAGATGTGTAGCCAATCAGAAAGTGACGTGACGTAAACATGGAGGGGATTCCAAAATACAGAAGACAAAAAAAGCTGTCATAACTCACCAGAAAGTCTGCTGGATGTTAAAAGTCCTATGGAATTGTTTTTCCTCTGGTAAAAATACTCCACAAACTATCAACATTGTTTCTTCCTTGTTGCAAACGTTTATTTACTCTGAACTCACGTCTCTGGAGGTCACGTGAGATTTTTCCTCTGACATCTGAATTCTCGTGAGATTTCAGGAAGTCTCGCGTGATTTAATATCTGACATCTGAATGTTCATGAATGAAATATTTTTTTGTGTGTGTGGTGAGTTGTCTCTTGCTGTGTGACTGTACACCACACACTGTAGGACCAAACCTGTTATATCCATGAGTTTAAATCCTCACGTGTGGAGTCTCTCAGTGTTTGTTTTAAAATCTTGCAGTGTGACGCAACCTTTAGATGATGAAATTTAAGCTGCAATGAGATGTTAAATAAAATGTATCAACAAAGCACTGATTCTAGAGCTAAACCCAAATTATTCATATTTTTTATTTATTTATGTGTAATTTATTTTTAAATAATAGTAAATTGTGTGACATTATATGGTGAAAGACGATTGAAGGCATGTGGTATAGAACTTAACACCATAACAGGACAAACACGTGGTCACACAAACGTACGCCATCTGAAGACTAGACCGCCTCATTTCGCAGCTGCTTCACTGCGTAGGGTGGGACCTACGTGGGCTGCAACACAACCACACTGAGCCATTTCCAAGATTTGACCAAAATGTCAACATTTCTCCTCATAAGATGCTCTCAGCTGAAAACTCGTAGAAATGGTGGGTGATAAGCATTCCTTCCAGGTATTCTTTCCTTTTATTAATCATTAAATTTGGCTCAATTTGTTTCCTCCATGAAGTAGAAATCAGTAAAAATTTTTCCTCCCCTCACAGTAATATAACTAATAGAGTTTAGATGTATGTATTTGCAAGATTTTGAGTATTTTTGTCCCTTGGAGCCACCGTACACAGCTGTGTTGATGTGAACAAAGTGTCAGCCAGCATTGTGAACAAATCAAGTGTATTTACAAYGATGTGGTTACAAGTGGCTGTCTGCTGCCAGCAGCTGAGGACCTCCAGCGTGGATTTTCTGTCCCCTGTGACATTTTGTTTACACAGATTACAGCTCAGGAGGTTTGTTTTTTTTTCTCTTCAGCCTCTCAGACAGAAAGGAAATAAAGGCAAAGTGACCCAGAGTTCAGACTGCAGTTTGGATGCAGCTGCTTCAGTGACTCTCTTGTAAAACAAACTATAAATATTTCTATTAAAACTCTTTTTTCTTTAAGTTAATGCAGATCCAGTAACTCCGCTGCGAGAGTTTTAACGACCGGACGCGTTGAAAATGTTGTGCAAGTTCTCCAACTTGGAGGTTCCAACAAGCCCCTGAATCAAGTTTTCTATGTAAACTGGAATGCAGAGTTTGAAAACTCAAAGAAGGAGCGTTAYGGTAAATAAAATAGTTTGTGTGTCTTTATGCTCCAACATGCAACACGTTTACTGAGATCTGTGRTGGTCCAACCCGACTTGAAGCTGATTCTGACTGAAGGGAAAAACAAAATGTAGGAGACTGGTAAAAAGAGGACCAGCTGCTGAACTCAGACAGACCAATAACGGAGCAATCATTTGTTGTGTGTGTCTCTGAGTCTTTATCTTTTTGTCAAAATAAAAACCTACAACCAACTTCTGCTTCCTGAGCAGGAATGTGAAAAATTTAAATACTTCCTGTTAATTTCTGAGAACTGTTTTCTGCCATATTTGCGAAAAATAAATAATAGATCAGCAAATCCATTTTCTTGTTGTTTGTGCAGGCGTGTGGGAGAGGGACAGCCCGCTGCTCTGGATCCCATCAGCTTTTTAGCTATTGTGTTTGTTCATTTTACTCTGATCTTAGTAATTGTTCAGGCTTTCTGAGGGTGTGGTGGATAAAACAATTAACTCTGACAACATTCACTCTGCAGCTTGAAAACTAAGAGTGTGAAGCCTGTTTGCTGTAGTGAAGGAAAAGCACTTAATGCGTGTTTGTTTCAGGCAACCTGAGCAGGAAGTGCACAGAGGAAGGCTGGTCCTCCATCTACCCYGACATCAGAACGGCCTGCTACTCCGACATCACAGACGAACCCTCAGAGGTGAGTTTATCCTCTTTTATTTACCGTTATTTAACCAGGCAAGTCCCGKTGAGATCTCAGATCTCTTTTTCAAGGGAGGCCTGGGCCTGAAGGCAACSTATTGTACATGTTTTTGTGTTTCCTCCGCAATCGGTTCACATTCCCTGTGTGCTCGTGGCTGCAGGTGGGATCCTCTGATGCTGTAAACTCCTCATTCGTTGCTGTTTGTGAAAAACTTTTGTTTTTGTTTTTTATATCTGGTATCTGCTGTTTACTTTTACCAGAAGCAACTGTGGTTTTGTCTGATCGTTGTTGCGGTTGTTTGGTTTCACACGTATTGTCAAACTGCTGAGCAAAGTGAAGCTCTGTGCACATCTCAMGTCTCATCTGACCACGTAGAGTCAGGAGACTGTTCACGTCGCAAACAAAAGARCAGCACTTCCTCCAAMCAAATGCAAGAGACGCTGACATTTKGACACCTTTGTGGAAAYGARCCAMAAAGGTGCAGATTCAGAGTAAAAGGTTCGATCTGTTCAGCTGAAGTCAGATCTCAGTTTAAAAAGTGCAGCAGCTCAGAGACCGACCGCAGACACAGATTATGTGGTAACGCTTTCTTCTACGGTACCTTTATTGCCATGTAATTACAAGGTAATAAAAATGTAATTAARTGGTCATTACTACCTTATTACATGTAATTACATGGTAACTGGGGTACAAAAGAATAACTAMTGTTAGTAAAACTACCTTTATTGGGTAACTACAATCAAATTACTCTTCAATAGTAACTCAACACTCTGTTTACAACCAAAAGAATGCAATTAAATTTTGGGGTTAGGTGTTGATTGCAATAAAATATAACTTTAAAACTGTCCAAATTATCTACTACTTATGTAGGTGTTACATAGTGAATTGTAATACATTACCAGGTAAGTGCTACATTACTGCAGACAATTAATTACATATAAAATTGTACCCTAATTACCCCAAAATTACATGGTAATAATGTAGTAATTACATTTAATTACCATTTTTATTACTTTGTAATTACATGRCAATAAGGGTACYGTAAAAGAAAGCRTTACCGATTATGCTGCTGTGGTTTTATTACCMACTACAGTTTGTGAAACTTTGGATTTGTTTTTTTCTCTGCTTCCTTCAGGTGTTACAGTTTGTAGAGCCTCTTAGCAAGAAGGTTGTCAGATCAAATCCTGGCCTCTGACCTTTCAGGGTGGMGTTTTCATGTTTCTTCTTTGCCTAAGTGGGTTTTATCTAGGTTGTCTAATTTCCTGCCACAGTTAGGTTCCTAACTTTATGCTGTCCCTCGTGTGAGTGAGACTGGGAATGTGTTTTTTGTGGTACTGTGATGGACGTACTGCCCAGAGTGTACCCCGCCTGTCGCCCAGTGACTGCTGGACATGAGGCACCAGACACAAGCAAAAGAAAAATGTGTAACAATAAAAAATGGATATATATGACCCATCATTTCAAAATGAGGATTTAGTCAAATTTGGTCACAATTACCWAATTACATTTYCAGATTCCTGGCTTTAAAAGCTACACTTTAATACCTGGATCATTCTGATATCATCAGTTTATCCAGTGAGATTACCTACTTTGTCTTGTTGGTTATGATAATATACTGAATTACTGTTTGGTCTGAATCCTAATTTTATCTAAATTTATTGCGTAATTTTGATGTCAATATAAAGAGTAAACCTTAAATAGTATGAGATTTCCATTTGGAAAGAAACAAAAACATTACTAGCTCACAGGGAAAAATTCTAAATTTAAAAGCGTTTTTCCTCAAAATCAGGTGTTTTTACTGTTACTGCTAAAAAAATGCTTCAAATTTTTTTTAGGATTATATTTCAGACAGTTCATTCAAATGATACATTGATAAGACATTAAGTTCAAGTTCAGTTTATTTACATAGCGCCAAGTCACAACATACGTTGTCTCAGGACACTGTACATAAAAAGAACAATGTAAAGAAGAAAGCAGCAGATTGTGTTGAATCACTTCATCACAGTCTCCCATCCTGAGCAAACGGTGGAGAGGAAAAACTCCCTGCTACTCAGGAAGAAACCTCCAGCAGAACCAGGCTCAGGACAGGCGGCCATCTGCCTCGACTGGCTGGTTGAGGGACAGGAAAGAGACACAGGTAAAACTGATTATTAATTCATTATTTTTTGACAAATTGCAATTTTTGCACACGTTGAAATCTAAACCCTATCTGCCTATTTCTCTACATTCCACTAGTGTGGTTAACGTGGGGCAGACATTTTTAACTGTTTTTTAATCTGTGCAAAATGACAAATTTATCGAGGCTGAAATGATTCAAGACAGAAAACAATTTCAATTGTTTTTAGTTTATAAAATATTTCAGGACCCAAGTTAGACAACCTGAAGGATCTGCTGTTAGCCTGGACTTGTGTAGTCCACAACCCAACAGGTCAGCAGATTATTAGCTAGGTAGTTMGGCGTTTGGAACGTTGTGGCGAGACGTCGGCTTAAAGTCCAAGCCCCTCCAGCTGAGTTGTGGGGTTCAGCTCCCGGTCGAGGCTCACTCCGCTCCCTAATCTGACGTGGTCTGTTTCCATATCTGCCTCTGCAGCAGATGAAAGTAGACCTTGTTGAAAGGCCTGATTCTGCGGAGGATTATGAAGCTGAGTGACACCGCTGCATATCTGATCCTTTTAGTCTTCTCAGCGTTTTCTCTGCTTGTCTGCAGCCCTGTCTGCCGGAGTCTCCAGCTGCGGTTTGGTTTGTGTTTGTGCAGACGTATGTGAGTCTGTAGGTGTGYGTTTTGACCCTGAAGCATCCTTTTCTGATGCTACAGAGCTTATCTTCCTGTCTTCCGACCTTCCCAAGTTATTACTTGCTGCATTCCAGGACCTTTTTTTTGTTTCAAACAAGCGAGTGATGTTCAGGTTCAAGGGAAAAACGTGTGATGGGTCAGCCAATAAAAAGCGAACCAATACGTTCTTTGAATTTTCTTCATGTTGTTGGGAAAGTAGGAGAATTTTACACTGTGAAGTAGGAAGATAACTCATTTATGTCCTGACAATAAGTTAACCAAAACACTAAACAGATTCCACCATGTCGTTATTTGGTAAACAAGAACGAAGCCAAAATGAGAAAGTTTTGTGCCCACTTTCATAGCTTCAACAGGCTTTAGTATCAACCGTGTCCTGCTGATCAAACGTGTTGATGAACTCGTCACCAGTCTGATCAACTCTATGTGGTTTTGAGTTTTCTGCTCTGGAGCGTACAAGAATGTGAAACCACCTGTTTGACAGCTACTAGGTGGCTAAGTCATCATTTCTTATATTTTCTGCATGCTAAGTCTAAACAGATCCAACACTTTCTCACACCCAAAATGTGCACATACTGTATATTAGTTTTTTCAAACAAAAATGCTGTTTTAATTTGGACGAGAGGTGCAAACACAAACTGTTTTTTTTTTCAGAGCATCTAAATGTATGCAGAGTTAGGTTAACAGTTTTGTCCTGGTTGAGTAACATTCAAGTAACAAATAATAAATGACAGAACGTAAGAAATAAAAAAGCTTTTTGATCAGACATTTGTTTTTTGTGTTACTCAGACTGTAGAAAACTGTTTAGCCTGGACTTTTTCCACTGGAGAATATAATCTGCTGTTGTGAGTAAATCTGGCTGCAGAGGATCTGAGAGGAAACAGAAGGAAAATTAAACCACAGTGAATAAAATGCCCCACAGTGAGTGTGTCGGTCAGTTGCATTTTGAGAAAACAGATGATAACTAATGAAAACTTCATCTAGCTAAACATACATTTTCATTTGTTGCATGATGTGTGGCACATTGTATTGAAAATAATAACTATTAAAGGGGAGTGGGGTATTATGCAAAATCAACTCTTTTTTTTAGCTTTATATCATGTTATAAAGTCATTCCTCATCAAAAACATACCCAGAGTGTTGCTTCGATTCATTCGTGCATGTTTGAGAAATCCTTGAATCTCCCGTGGAGCTGCCTAAACACTTGCTGCTACAAAGCTCCGCCTATTGTTCATAACTCCTCCCTGGAGCTCAGTCCCCAGCTGAACACCCGCCCCACAGACCACCCCACATCGCTCCACAAGACTAGCAATATGCCTCTTAAAAATGRTGGATAATCGTGATTTCATTGCAAAACATAGCTTCATTATAATCTAGTTTCTTTGTCAAAAGTAGCTTAACATTGACATATATGTATGAGAGGATGACTGCGAGGTATATTATTAAGAAATGTCTTGTAAGAGCCTCTGTGCTCACTCTGGTTCTTYAGAAAATGTTCCAAATTCAACGTGGGATTATTTGAACAACAGTATCCTGAGCTGTTGTTTTCCAAAAATGATATTATACAGTGTTGCTTCTTTCTTTTTACAACAACATACAACGCTCCTGCAAAAGGTTGTAAAGAACAYGAAGCACTGTTATGTAGACATGCTGAAGTGGGAGTGTCAGAARTGGCAGGAGGTTCTTAAAGAGACAGAGTCCAATTTCAAGGCACTTAGATGATGCAAAGTTTAATTTATTTTTGATATACACAACAATTGAAGGTAACATCCGATTGTGCTATGTGGAACTGAACTATGTGCCTGGAAAATACCCCCCCCCCCTTTTAAGAGCAAAATAATAATAAAAGAGAAAGCCAAATAAGCAAATACAAAACAACAAACAGTTTTTTTTTTTTTTTTTTGGGTGGAGGAAAAGCTACGAAAAAGTAAAATCTTACATAAGTTGTACAGAATTTTAATTTAATAAAAAWATCAACTTAGCATGGAGAAATGCTTTATATTAGAATGTCATGGCTGTTTTGGTCAWACTTTAAAAAAATAATTTTGCATGATTTTCCGCAATCTGTTAGTGCTTGGAGTATATGTTGGGGATTAGTCTCAGCTACCAACACATCAATTCCTAAATCTGCAAAAAATGATGGTGAAAGTCGTTTTGTCTTTGATAAATATCCAACTATTAATACAAGCTGTAGTGGCCACCTCAAATTAGTCATTCATAAATATACATCAGATAATTGCTTTGTGTGCGTTTTATTAAAATGATAGGGAGTGATCTTTTAAGAAAATGAAATATGAACTAAAACTCGGAATAAAAACCATGATATTTTCAGGGTAATTTGACCTGATTGAGTTTACGGTGGAAATATTTGGACCACCCATGAAGAGTTTGTTTTTGGTCACTTCTGTGAAGACGGGGGGCTCTGAAGGACCTTAAAAGGCACTCTGTGGTGTCAGGTGCTCGGTCAGCAGATCCTTTAATTCCTGTCAGTTGGGAACAGAGTCTTTGTGCTGCAGAAACCAACACAGTCTGACCCTGTCATCTGGTGTTAACGGTTGTTAACGTGGTGAAGTCTCTCTGATCTTCATCCTCTCCTAATTCCACATGTCATCAACAAGAACTCGTTACTTCTCTAAAATAACAAGAGCGTGGCACAGAAAACTGTTGCACAATAAACTTTTGCTTCTTTGTTTCATTAAACTGCACATCGTGTCCACAGACCACAGTAAGCAACATGACTGGGAGGAAAAGTCAGATTGGTTTTAGCTGCTTTGTGTCTGATTGTTCACATCTTTGAAGCTGTCTAAAACGGGACTTTTCAGTCAACTAAAAATGCTACAAAYGCAACATTGAAAAAGTTGAGACATTGTATAAAAAAATAAAAACTAAGTACAATTATTTGCACGTTTTATTCAGAAGAGAATGGTTGAAGCTAAGAAACTTAAAAGAATAGGCTAATTTTGAATTTTRTGGCAACAACACATTTTAACAGYGTTCAGAAAAATACATTAAAAATTGAGGAGACCAGTTGCTGAAGYTTTTGCATTTCCACTGTGCTTCAGTTCATTTTAAATGAGTTTTGAAAGATGGCGGCATTTTTGAAAGTTATTCTCATATGGCGTCTTCTTTGCATGTTAKAGCTTTAACCCGTATTTGTGGACGTTATGTTGAACTATGTTTACAGACAGCTGATCAGYGATGTCCATAACAGAATCAGACCCTGAAACCTGAAGATCACAGACGTCAAACACTGACCTTCAGCCTTGACCTTTGAACTCTGAAATTTCTGCAGATTTTTGACACGTTTTGATTTACTCTTTTTCACTTATTTTCTTGTGAATATGGCATCTTATCTCTTTGTCATTATGAGATCAGGAGTCATTTTTTTCTTTCTTTGGTGAATGCAATGCTCCTCCATAGAGATGTATTGCTGCCATCAATTTTTTACTTTTATCCAGAGAAACATATGTTTGCTCTTTGCAGGATGCTTATCCTTGCTGTCGATTGGTGGGCCTTCTTCAGTTGATTACAGAAAAACAAACACACACACMGACCTTTATCGCCTGTCCTCTGCCTTTCAAAGATGTGCTATAAAAAGAAAGACAGAGGCAGAGACTGGAATATAATGGATGTAGTGACAATGGACATGTGAGTCTCCAAATGGAAATATTTAAAGARAAAAGGACAAATGTCTTCTAATGATGGTTAAACACAGCAGCTGTGTAAGCACCACTTCTTTGTCCTCACACTCTGCAGAAAATGTGTCTTTTGTGACAACTATAAATGGTAGAAAACGAGTACAGATGAGAAAACTGCACATACTTCAAACATTCAACCATTGAACGATTATCATGTCTTTACAGCAAGCCTCTGTTTCAGTTAAATATTGAGGTTAAGCAAGCAGCTGTTATGGTTACAGATGTTATGTCTTATGTCAGCGAGTGTTCTCCGAGGTATAGAAGTCTGTTTTCTCAAGTGTTGTTCAAGTCACTGTGTGACTATGTACTACATACTGAGTGTGTACTTCCACTTCATTGTGAGATGGTGTGTCATTTGTTGGGAATGTTGTTTACTTGTGATGAGAGAGCGATGAACGCCAGACTCGAAGGCACACACACTCTTAGAGGGCAGCACCGATACAGCTGCTGTGGACAGTTAGAGGACAGTTCAACTGGATTTATATTTCTGCATGAGCTTTTATCTATGAACATTTCATACAAAATGAGAACCTGTAGAACACAGCACCGGAACTAATTTCTTCCCGCTGGGGTCTTTACATTTTTTTATATCCTTGTACAGATTCTTGCTTCCCTTAATTCTACCAGATGTTTTTATAATAGAGATGGAGACAGTAGAGGCTGTTTGGCATTTGCAAATTTCTCATGAAGAAACGCTTCCAACAAATCAACATAGGGAACGTATCCCAACGCTGCYGAGTCATTTAATTAAAAGCCACACAGCCTTTGTGTACTCACTCTCAGCCAGTACATCCACAGAGACCTGTCTGTGTCTTCAGGCTATCTCCTCCTCTYCACAAGGTCTTCACCATTAAACTATAAGTTTATAAGTCTTTATAAGATGGTTGTATTTTCTTACAGCCTCGGCCAGCTGCTCCACAGTGAAATGAGTGCAGTGTAGCTCACCTGCTTTTCTGCATAAAAAACAAAGTTTTGACCAATCACAACAGTTTACACAAAGGTCTTACCAGAACTTGCATAAAAACAGGCTCTTGGAGCTCATGCAAGAATAATTGAATTTGTATTTTTTAATTAAAAACMTTTTGCTTCCCATCAGAGGACATTTGTCATTTCAAAATTGGACAGTGTAGAGTTCCAAGACTGCTCGACTCTCACCGCCCACCGGGACATGAACTTTCCGTCATTAATATTCTACACCATCGTGTCCCCACAAACACAGAAGAGAGGCGTAAGGAATAGAAACACAATTAAAAAACATGTCGATTTTCGTCAGGTCGGTAAGAAAATCCACAAAACAAGCCACAGAACAGTACGGGGAGGAAAACTAAAACATTGTCATCCCTGTGTTGCTGGAGCATCTGAGAAACTCAGAGGGATTTAAACACAAATTGTGGTGCATTTCAAAGTTAACGGGGCTCTCAGGCAGAGGCTGGTCCATCCTGAGGACAAGAGATCCAAACACAAACAGAGCGGTGTGTGATGTCTGCCTCGGGTTCAGTGCAGTGAGGAGTGTTCTGACCTCCACAGACACAAGGCTCAACACAGGAGAGTCTGACTCTCAGCTACTACCACACCCAATGTTAGATTGACATCTCTGAAACTGGCTAAGTCACCATTTTGGAATTTTATAATGTCACTTTGCAGTGATCATCCATCTTTAATTGGGTTGAATMMAAAAATYAGTCTGTTATAAATGTACACTGAGTGATTAAGTTCTTGAGTGAGTATTTAAATTGGTTGGATGGTTTTTATCACAGGAGCATTATGGTTGCCCTCAAAGGACCAGTTGTAATTAATTATTGTTTYGTGTTTAACTTTGACTAAACAGGAAACATCACGTTCCTCGTCTCATTGCTCCGGCTGAACACCACTAACAAACAATAACTGAGCTCTACTTGGTATATCCTGCATAGAAACAGTGTTTTAACACGTTTTTTTTAAACACTGAAAAGTACTATGTGTATGACTGACTGAATGTGAAACAAATAATACAGTAACACTACAGTCAATGCTGGTTTTAAAGCAATTTATTTTAAGATAATAATAGAGGGCTATTCAACTTGCTCAGGGGGCCAGAGTTCCCTAAAGCCAGCAAGAGGCAGGACAGGTGATATCGTTCATCTTTTAAATGGGTTTCTTTTCTTGCACTGAATCATAAATTTAAAGTTTAGAATTGGTATGAAACCTATTTTAAAATTAAATTACGGTAAGTTAAACCAGTTTTTTTCTTGTTGTTGTTAGGGTACATTTGGTCTGTGGCTCTTGAGTTTGACAAATGTGGTTAATAAGATATTTTTCAAACAGAGACAAATAAACACTGTTACAGGTGAAAAAATAAAACATTACCTGCCATTTGGCAGCGGGTGATAGCTTCTACATATAGCAGCACATCTGTCTGCTCTCAGAAACAATCACTGGGTAAATTAAAATGCAATCTTTGCATGATCCTTGCTGGAGGCCACAGTTTAAATCCAATAACACATTTTTCACTGGGAGATCTGAAACACGATGTCGCCTGCGGAGGTCAGCCCAGCTGCGCCTCATATTTTCTGATCAGATTTGATGGAAGCTCTTATTGTTTCTATTCAAGGAAGCAGAAGTCGTTATTTTGTTTATGTTCTGTGTGCAGCTGGTCTTCTACAAAGTGGTGCACATTTTATCCACTCTGGGCCACAGTCTGTCGCTCATCACCCTGCTCAGCAGCACCGTGGTCATCTGCTCCTTCAGGTAAACACACACACATTTACACACATATACACTCATGTTCACGAGTCACAAACACTCACGTGAAAGATAAAACCTTTGCTTTGAGTTTTTACCACCATATGTAAGAACTATTTTGGTTGGGAAGTGTCCCGTTTGGATAAAGGGGTGAAGGAGGGGCTTGTGGAGTTACAATAAGGAGGAATTCAGACCAAAGCATTGCAGTTCCACTTTATATGGACCCTAACCGAAGGATTTAAATGTAAAAAAAAAAAAAAA